AACTGCCCCTAAAAGCGCTTTAACCTTATTTAACTATTTGCATTATCAATTTGTGTAGAACAAAATTATATATATGTATGTATTTTCAAAATCCTTAAATCTTTCACACACATGCATACATGCAAATTATTAAATATTGCTAAGCACTATAAAAATATAAAAGAAAATGGCGTTTATAATGTTCAATAAATCTTGGAATTGTAATAGATCTAAGTCTTAAATAGAAAAATCTTGGCATTTTTCTATTTAAGACATGAGAAGACTTATTTGTACAAATATTTGATCAATTAGAAAAGTATTAATATAAAAGTAGCTGGTGGAGGGTATTTAAGATTCGGCTCAGCCGAATATAGCACTCTAACTTGTTTTATTACTCAATTAGTATTTTATTACGAATTATTGTTTAAGAATTCTAGAATATATCTTTATTAGTTTGCCGATTTTATATAATAATTCATTAAACAATGAATTGCGAAAAAATTGTGTATAGCTTTAGCATTAAAAAAACATTATTTTGTAGAAAGTCGACAATTTTTAGTTACTTAAGGAACAACTGACAATTTTCCGAAACCGAAATAAGATCTAAATACATCACTTAAACTCAAAGAAAGCAATTAAATAGATTGTTGCCTAAAACTATTCCAAATATATTTTTATCTGATTTGTTTTGTATCTCTATTGTTTACTTTTGAATTTCAAGCAAAATTAATTGTTCAGCATATAAAGCCCGACGGCAACTCTTAGTTCAAAACAATTGGAAGATGTAAGAGCGCACAACTTTACATATGTATGTCTATATTTCGTACATACGCAGCGAGCTATCAAATGAGCTCTCTGGTTTTTCTTCTTACACACGTACGTAACTTCCAAGCTTACATAATGAGAGCTTGGAAGTTTTTTGATTGAGTTTTTTGAAAGATAAGTTCTTGTTTGCCGAAAGTTATTTTTGCAAACGAGAATATTTGATATTTAATATTTATTTTAATTTTAAAACCTTGCAAGAAGAAGGGTTTTTTTTACGAATAATTGTAAAAAATAATGGGAATTTTAATTAATGTGTTTTAATTAATGAGAGCAAAAGTTCTTCGAGGATATTTTTATACACCCTAACGATCTATTATTTGTTTAATTTTTAAAATCTTCATTATTTCTTTACTTTTATTTACACGGAGTATATAAGGTTCACTTTGTATCCAAAATTGCAAATAATGCATTTCCGAGAGCAATGTTAAGAAATAATAGGTCGTGTTTCAATTATTCCAATCCTATTTCATACAAAATCCAGAAATATTTTTTTTGTTATTTATAATACAGTACACTTTAAAGTAGTGAAGTCACTACACCAAAAAAACTTACAAACTGGTCGGGGAGGGCAGGGAAGGCAAAAAACACAAAAGGATAGGGGGGTGAAGTGGGAAAGAAAAGGGACACTCGGCCGAGGGGGGACCGATATACATACAGACAGACAGACAGACAGACAGACAGACGACAGACAGACAGGACAGGACCGACAGGACAGACAGACGACAGACAGAACATACAGACTAGACAGGACAGGACAGACAGACCAGACATACAGACATACATACATACATACATACAACATACATACATACATACATACATCATACATACATACATACATACTCCATACATACATACATCCTACATCCATACATAACATACATACATACATACATACATACATACATACTACATACATACATACATACATACATACATACATACATCATACATACATACATACATACATACCTACATACATACATACATACATACATACATACATACATACATACATACATACTACAGACATACATACATACATACATCAACATACATACATATACATACATACATACATACATACATACATACATACATACATTACATACATACATACAGACACATACAGATACATACATACATACTACATACATACATACATACATACATACATACATACATACATACATACACATACATACATACATACATACATACATACATACATACATACATACATACATACATACATACATACATACATACATACATACATAATACATATATGTAAGAGAACCTATAAACGAGGAGTTTTAATGGACTTGAAATTAAAAAATAAAATATACACCTAAAAATATCACACTTCAAATTCTTAAATTCTGAAATTTTTCTTACTTTTCAACTAAAGAACTTTGGCAAATTTTATGAACTCACTTTTAAATGAAACCTCCACTTCGAACGCTTTAAGTCCCACTTCTTCTCGATCGGACCTTTGTTGTTTGTATTTTATGAATACACTTGTTCGGTATTTTAAATACAACACTTCTTCGTTATTTTTATACCCACCATCAAAAAAGATGGGGGTATATTGATTTTGTCATTCCGTTTGTAACACATCGAAATATTGGTCATAGACTCATAAAAGTATATATATTTCGGCTCCTTATTAAATTCTAAGACGATCTAGCCATGTCCGTCCGTATGTCTGTTTAAATCACGATAGAGACCATACGAGAGGAGCTAGACGGTTGAAATTTTGCATAAATATTCTCTATTGTTAAGGTTTGTTTGGTATTGAAAATGGGCAATATCGGTCCACTTTTTCGGATTGCCCCCATACAAGTGGAGCTCCAAAAAACAGCTTTAACGGGCATAACTTTTTTAGAAGTACAAGTATAGCAATGAAATTCGACATAAATAAGTTTCATATGAGCCAAAATCTTTCTATCAAATTTTTTGAGAATCGGCCCATAAATGACCCTACCCCCCATATAAGGTCCACTCCTGAAAATGACTTTAACACTCATTACTGGCCCCAAAATGCAAGTATAGTGATGAAATTCGGTATAAGTAAGTTTCTTACGAACCAAAATCGCTCTACGAATTTTTTTTAAGATCGGCCCATAAATGACCCTATCCCCCATATAAGGTCCCCTTCTGAAAATGACTTTAACGCTCATTACTGGTTAAAAAATACGAATATAGCAATAAAATTTTACACAATTAAGTTCCTCGCTAGCCAAAATCTTTTTAATAACTTTTATATGAATAGGTCCATAATTGGCCCTACTCCCCCTATTGGGTCCACTTCAGGAAATAGCTTAAACGCTTACTACTGTCTTAAAAATACGAGTAAAGCGATGAAATGCTACACACGTAAGTTTCTTACGAGCCAAAACCTCTGTACCAATTTTTTTGGATCGGCCCATAAATGACCCTTCCCCCATATAAGGTCCCCCTCTGCAAATAACTACAATGCTCATTACTGGCTTAAAAATATGAATGTGACGAAAATTGACGCACATAAGTTTAATCTCTCCACCAAATTTAGGGAGGATCGGTATATAATTTACCCTACCGCCCATATAAGGTCCCCTTCAGAAAATTACTTAAACGATCATTACTGGCTTAAAAATATGAGTTATGAAATACGGTTATGAAATACGCTCCGAATTTCATGCGGAATGTGTCGGTAATACACAAAAGGTTCCCTTCAGGAAAGAGTTTTGGCTAATAAACTACGAGTGTTCCTTATTTAAAATACGAGTATAGCCCTGAATGTACAAAATTTTATGAGTATCGGTTCATAATTGAGGCTCACGGTTTAAGAATTGAAATAAAATATTTTTTTTTTTTTTTTGATACCCACCATCAAAAAAGATGGAGGGTATATTAATTTTGTCATTCCGTTTGTAACACATCGAAATATTGGTCATAGACCCACAAAAGTATATACAGTGCACTCGCGGTAACGTGAACACCGTCTAACGTGAACACCGCCTAACGTGAACAAGATGTTTTTTACATTGACTACTCTTTAACGTGAACAAACACAGAAAGCTCTATAACGTGAACAATTTTTTTCACAATATATGTTTTCTAAGCATGTAGACAACATTGAAATCCATTCATTAAATTCGAATTTTAAAATTTTGGGAATCTCCTTATATAAATGAATGTTTATCCCCTAAATTATTTTGTTTATATGGCAAAGAAATTTGAAGTTATGAGTGTAAAAAAATCTTAATGTTTGCAGTTAAAAGAAAAGGCAGACATTTTAGATAGTTTGCAAAGAGGAACAAGTGTGACTAGTTTATCAAAAAAGTATAATGTCGCTAAGTCAACAATATGCAGTATTAAAAAGAAACAAGTAAGAAGTTATAGTCGGGCGACGCCGTCCATATATTACCCTACACCTGTATACGAATAAAATGTGATGTGGTTTTCATAATAAAGCATTTAAGTTGAATTGTACCTTGCCTCAGATATACTAAAGCCATTTACAGTTTAATAAAACTGTGGATATTTAAGTAAAATTTTGATGGGGCTTTTTAGAGGGGCTAAGGGTCAAATGAGGCCCTATAATTAAAAATTTTATCAGGGTCATCAATACTAGTATTGAACTTGGTTTTGCAGCTTTTTGTCGAGATACGAGTATATTAAGCATAATTATGAACTTAAAAGCCCTATTTGGCGGGTTCAATTCTATGGGGCCTAGGTGAAATAATGGACCGATGTTAACCATTTTCATTGAATTATCTCCAAAATTTCGACCTGTAGTTTGATTACAATGTTTACAACCCTTTTTGGGGGGTACAGTTGTATGGGGGCTAGGTGAAATAATGGACCGATCATAACCAGGGTTTGTCCCTGGGACAATAGAAGATCATGTACAAAATTTCATTCAATTATCTTCAAAATTGCGGCCTGTAGTTTGATTACAAGGTCTACATGGACGGACGGACAGACGGACATAGCTAAACCGACTCAGAAAATGATTCTAAGCCGATTGGTATACTTTAAGGTGGGTATAGGACCAATATTATTGTGCGTTACAAACATCAGCACAAACACAATATACCCTCCCCACTAAAGTGGTGTAGGTTATAAAAAGAAGCAATTTTGAGTTGTGCAAACAACACATACCAAGGACCGGGAAAAAGACAAACTTTAAAATCATCAGAACTTCCAGTTAATGAAAAAACTCTTTACCGTTGGTTCCTCCGAATGCGTGATAGGAATTGGCCTGTAAGTGGTCTAATGTTAAAAGAAAATGGATTTTAATAAAATTTTAGTTTTATATTATAATAATATAAATAATAATAAAAGAATATCACGCTCAAGTGTGTAAAATACAGGTTTATAAATTAAAATTTCATATTTTTTTCATGAAATTTGACAATCGCTAACGTGAACAATTTCGCTAACATGAACTCCCTTGGTTTTAATTAGTTCACGTTACCGCGAGTGCACTGTATATTCTAGGTCTTCATTAAATTCTAAGACGATCTAGCCATGTCTGTCCGTCTGTCTGTCTGTCTGTTGAAAGCACGATAGAGTCCCAATGGAAAGAGCTAGAGGGTTGAAATTTCACATAAATATTTCTTATAGGCAATATCGATCCACGTTTTCGGATAGCCCCCATACAAGTGGCCCCTCGAAAAGCAGCTTTAACAGCCATAACTTGTTTAAAAATACGAATATAGCGATGAAATTCGACATAAGTTTCTTATGATCAAAAATCACTATGCAAAATTTTATGAGGATCGGTCCATGATTGACCCTACCCCCCATATAAGGTCCCCTTCAGAAAGTGACTGCAACGCTCATTAATAGCTTAAAAATACGAGTGTAGCGATGCAATTCGACACAAATAAATTTAATACGAACCAAATTCTGTCTACTTAATTTTATGAGGATCGACCCATAATTAACCCTACCCCACTATATAAGGTCCCCTTCAGAAAATTACTTTAACGCTTATAACTGGCCTAAAAAATACGAGTATATAGATGATTCGACATAAGTAAGTTTCATTCGAGTCAAACGAGGATTGATGGTGGGTATATAAGATTCGGCATAGCCGAATATAACACTCTTACTTGTTTTTTTCTTAATTAATTTTACATAAATATTTCCAAAATTTTAAATTTTATATTTAAATATTTCTAAACTACACGAGGTAGTTTAAACAAGCACATCTAAGGTAACAACAACAAAATAAGCAGTTCTTGTGAGAAATGCACTTTTAAGACTAAATCTACACCAGAAGCAAAAAATAAAACATATGTACAAATAAATGAAAGTATCTTGTTTATCTCATAAACAAAACTCCAATTGGCAATGCAGTGCAGATTAGAAATAAAAACAACAAAATGCAATGAATTAGGATTTGGATAAGGAATTTTATTTGATTTAAAGAATTTGTTACCTTAAGCTTTGGATGTTAGTCAAACAAGAAAAAAAATTCTTAGCGTAAAAAACGGAAACAACATTTTTGACATCTTGGCAAATTGACAGATATTTTTGGGCATTATGAGGGAAAGAGATAGCCTGATTTTCGGAACTTTCAGCCTTTATATAGATTAAACAAAAAGGGGTAAAACTTTAATAATATCTTATATTAAGGTCAAAAGAATGAATTAGGCTTTTGGCATTAACACATACTATTAACGTAGATCACAGTCGCTTCAAAATTGGCCATAGCTCCCATATAAGGCCCACTTCCGAACATCACTTAAAAGCGCATCACTTAAGAGCGCACTCTACGAAATTTTTTCCGGATAGGCCCATAATTGGTCATAGCTCTCATATAAGGTCCACTTCCGAAAATCACTTAAACGCATATATTTCATTGAATTCTAAAGCTATAGGGATAAAATTAGACTTGGATAGGTTTTGTGTACATACAAATCATTCCACCAAATTTTTTACGGATCGGTCCATTATTTGTCACAGCTTCCATATAAGGCCAACATCCGAAAATCACTTAAACGCACATATTTCATTGTCAAATAAAGTTATTTTGATAAAATTCGACACAAAAATGTTTTGTCTATATATGACATTTTTCCGGATAGGCTCCCATTACTTTATTTCTTGGAATAATTATGCTATCGCGATAAAATACGACTTGAATATGTTTTATGAGTGTATAAATCATTCTACCAAATTTTTTCCGAATCGGTCCATATTTGGTAATAGCTCCTATATAAGGTCCACTTCAAAAAATCACTTATACGCACATATTTCATTATCAAATTAAGATATCTGATAAAATTCGACACAAATATGTTTTGTGTACATATGAAATTTTTCTGGATAGGCCCGTAATTGGTCATAGCTCCTATATTTTATTAATTGATAAATCTGTTAAATTCGACTTGATTTTTTTTGCATATAAATCATTATACGAAATTTGTTCCTTATCGGTCCATAATTGGTCACAACTTCCATATAAGGAACATTTCCGAAAATTACTGAAATGCACATTGACAATCTAAGTTTTTGGGATAAAATTCGACATAAATGTGTATTTTGTATATATAAATCATTCTACGGATTTTTTTTTCCGGATCGGTCCATAAGTTGTCTTAGCTCCCATATAAGGTTTACTTCGGAAAATCACTTAATACCATTTAATTCGTTTTATTTATAATCCGAAAAAATTCGACATGAGTATGTTCTGTGTTCATTCTATTAAAATGTTTTCGAAATATAAATTTTTTGGAACTAATCAAAATTAGTTCGACATATGCATAAATGTTAATGTTAGTACCCTAAAGCGACAACTTTTTTATACTCAAAAAATAACTTTTATTTTTGCTCAAAAAAATAAAAGTAAAAAAATAATTTTTATTTCTGCTCGAAAAAATAAAAGTCATAAAATAACTTTTATTTCCGCTTAAAAAAAAATAAAAATAAAAAATTTAAAAGCATTGCATTTTCTTAAAATTTTGTCCACGATGCACGGTGGTCCAATGACAAGTTTAGCCCGAAAAAAGTCGTTTTGTGGGATCGTACATATGTGAATTTTTTGCATGTTTTTGAAATGACAAGTCTCCAGCCTACATACCGGTATAAATTTTTTATTATATATGCAATAGTATTACTGCAGACATTTGATTAAATTTGTTTGTAATAGCAGAATAGTCAATATTTTTGCTTGGATCGGAGATCTTGTAAAATAAAGCGAAAATATATTCGACATTATTTGGGGGTTTTATTTATACAATGGAGGTATGTATGTTTTTTATTCCTAATATGCATTCCGTTCAGGAAAAAATAGATGAAAACTAAGATACATTCGTTAATTGTTCAATTTTAATAGTATTATAACTTGTGTTAAAGTTTTAATTGTGAATTTAATCCGATTTAATTAATTGTTGTATGTCGTTATCATCTATGATATTTGCTCAGTTAAATGGTAAAAAAATTACCTGTCGATTTCTGCCTGAAAGTTTTCATATAAAAACATTTAGTTGCGAAGTCTATCACCAAAATTGTATTGTTTAATGTTTGTTACTTAGAAGAGACCCAGGAAAAGCAAATTATATTGTTATATTTTAAATTTTTTATGAACATTGGCAGAAAAAATGATGAAAAAGTAAATTTCATCACCCAATTATCGAAAAAATGGTCCCTGGTACATGGAACAAAGGGATTATTCCAGAATTTCTTTAAAAGTTGGTTAGATGAATTTTTTGTTCTTCTTAGCAAAAAATTCGGTTGACAAATATGTTGACGGATCGTCAACGTCTATGCACGGACGACCTTCCTAAAATATTGGTCCAACACCCACCTTAAATTATACCAATTTCCTCAGAATCACCAATATGTCCGTCTGTCCGTCCGTCTGTGTGTCTTTAAGTTTTATGCGCACGCTACATTTCGCAAGATAATTTTATGATATACTTGTTTTTATAACTTTGATTAAAAAGTTGTACTCTTAGTGAAAATATTTAGATATTAAAATCAGCCCTTATGTCAGTTAGTTTGTATGAAAAGTGCCACGCCCACCACCATACCAAGTCACATATTCATACAAATTTTTATCTTTCTAAGTGCTTTTAATCAAGAGTTATGACTTTTATCGTGCTAAATCTGTCATTTGTACCAGTGTGCATGATAAAAATGGTATATTTTCGGTCCCTGATCAAAATCGATTTTTTTAGTTGGGTCACTTGTCATAAAATTACCCATATATATATAGTTATTTCATGATTTTTTAATCATTGGACCCAAATAATAACTATTTTGGGTCCCTATTCACCTTCGTGAGAAGGGTATATATAAGTTTGTTATTCCGTTTGCAATTTCTACAATATAATTTTCCGACCCTACGAAGTATATATATTCTGGATCCTTATAAATAGCGGAGTCGATCCTTATAAATAGCGGAGTGTTGAAATCAATTGTTATACCCTACACCACTTTAGTGGGGAGGAAATATTGTGTTTGTGCTGATGTTTGTAACACACAAAAATATTCGTCCTATACCCACTAGGAATGCCAAACGGGACTGGCTTTTACAAATCCCGGGATTTTACGGGATTTCGGGATTACATAAATTTAATCATTTTATACATGAAAATCTTTAAATCGTCATGTTTGTAAAAGCTCTGATACACGGTTGTCAGGTCTTATAACGTTGTCAGTAAAATGTGCAGAAAATGTGCAACTATCGTGTGAACTTACAATTTTTCTTTGCAACGTTGTCAGAAAAAGAATTATTAACAATGTTGCAATTTGCAAAACATAATTTGTAAGTTGACACTGTTGTAAGACATTTTCTGCACATTTTACTGACAACGTTGTAAGATCATTATTTCATGTGCATTTAGTTTAGACTTGTAAAGAAATTATCCAAGTACACTTCAACCCCTTTTTTTTGCCAGTGGCTTACATAACTGCAAGACGACAGCTTCGACAAGACCATGTTCAACAAATGGTTTTTATACCCTACACCACTTGTTTGTAACATACAAAAATATTCGTCCACCAAGTATACCAATCGGCTCAGAATCGTTTTCTGAGTCGATTATTGTCACACACTTTTTTTGGCCCAAGGACGAAGCCTATTGAAAATGGTTAAAATCGGTCCATTATTTCACCTAGCCCCCATACAACAGAACCCCCCGAAAAAGGCTTCTGAGCTCATAATTATGTTAAATATACCTGTATAACGACAAAAAGCGGCACAACTAAGTTTTATACAAGTCTTGATGACCTCGCCAAATTTCATAAACATCGGGCCT